TGTCTCAAAAAAAAAAAAAAAACAGAAACAAAGACAAACTACACTTACCAATAGCACAGATGGCTTTGTAAAGCAAATAAGTACTCATTAAAACTTTCTATGGGCTTCTCCTGTAGCACATAGTCAATGCGCTGGCCTCCATTCAGCATCCCCACATTGATGGGCAAAACTTCTTTATCTGCCACAGCAGTCTCTTCTGTGTTAGAATCTGGATATGGATGGATAATAATAAGAATCTAAAAGCTTTGAGCCCTCTAGGGTTGTCCTGTTAACTTCAAACTCCAAGTTTACCACAAGATACGCTACTCTCTGTTTAGAGTTTTGTCCCATCTTCCTCCTCTCCATCTCTTTAAAGCCCCTCCTCAGGTCACTGTAATTCTGTCCCATCTACCTTTTTTCTTTTGCTAACATCATGGCATCACCCGTATCTCCAACAGCTGTCATTTTCCTTGGGTTTATATACTAAATGCAAGCAGGAATAGAACTCTTTGGGAAGTTGAAAACTAAACCAAAAGAATACAGTATTAATTGTGAAATTAAGTGGAGAGTATCCTACCCTAGTTCCCCACCAGAATAAAACTAAGCCACAAATACATAGTGAAATTCTCCCTGTAGAAGCAAGGTGCTTCACAGAGTAGGCTCCTAACATTATCCCAGGGTTCCCAAGAGGGGATGCTTTAAAGCCTAGTTACCAGATGCTCAGCTTGTCTTAACATTTTTGTCACAAATAATGTTTTCCTGTGATTTGTTCTATTAGGATGACAGAAAAGGTTAGCACAGCAAAAAGCCCATTAGGACTCATAGTATAGATTCTATACAATAAAAGGAGAAGGGTGGTGCCTGTGGCTCAAGCAGTAGGGCACCAGCCCCATAAGCCAGAGGTGATGGGTTCAAACCCAGCCCTGGTCAAAAAACTGAAGAAAGAAAAAAAAAAAGGAGAAGGATAAGAAGGGCTTGAGAGAATAAGGACTCTATTCCATGGAGTCCCTCTTATCTAGCCTGATGTCAGTAATCCATGTATATGGCGTCACTGACCACTAGGCTTCTCTGAACTCGACTCAGGTTCTGCTTCACTTTCTTCTGCCGTTTCTGAAGCTTGTAAGGCAGGATATGAAGCTCTGGTAAAAGACTTCCAGGCCATCCGCAAGGACCCCAGCAAGTTGTTCTTCAGGTCCGTGCTCACCCTGGTCAGGCCCTCTCTCAGCTCTGAAACACAAACAGAACATTCATGACTGATGCGGAGTTCAGGGAACATTCACTCTGCACTGGCCAAAAAAATCAAGAATTATCAAGCTCTATATTCTGACTTACCTAAGTGCATCCGTTTCCTGCCTTTATGATGTGGGATCAGCATTGGCTCAAAATCTGCTTCCGGGACCACCATTGGTTCAATCCTATAAGCCACAGGATCAAACTACATAGGAAAAAGAAGACCTACATTTACCTCTGCTGAAGAAAGATAGTTTGAGGAACCATGTATCTTAGGCAAGAATAATGATATGTTCATTTAAAAAAAAAAAAGGGCACTTGTTTGGCCCCTCACTTCTAAATCAATGTTATTATAAGTTGTCTCACTAGTAGAGAATGGTACAGAAAATCGTATGTTCTTATCAATATGCCCCAATATTCATATAACCATAGTAACTATACAATGCTTACAGGGTGATAAATATTGAAGAAACCTTTGCATGTGGGAAATTTGTAGTTGGGATCAATTCTTTTTAGACCTCGGACCGTAAGGAACATTCCAATCGGAGATCCAAAGGCAAAGAATATTTCTGGTTTATAAACAAGCCTGGGGTATTTTACAGACACCTGGAAGGAGAAAATAAAAGCATCTCTTATTAATAACAAAAGTTATTATCTGGTCCTACAATACCAATGAGAGGCATTAATTAGTACTGTCACCTGCCCAATGCCAACATCCAAATAGTCCTCACTTCTAGCTTCACTAGTACGACTGCAGAACTCAGATTCTTTGGGAATGTTTGCTTCTGAAGCTGACTGTAAGGTTGGTCTATTGATTCCCTTAAAAACAAACAAACAAAACAAAAAAACAGTTATGTGGAGCAGATGGGCATGGTGGCACACTCCTCAAGTCCCAGCTTCTGGAGAGGCTCAGGTGGGAGGGTCACTTGAGCTCAGAAGATTGAGTCCAGCCTAGGCAACATAGCAAGACACCGTTTCTATTTTTTTTAAAGTTATATGGAGTTTTTATACAGTCAAAATAGTCTAAAGATTATAGTTTTCTATTTCAAAGGATGGCTCGGAAAGTTTTGAAATAGTAGCCAATAATGGCTCGGCGCCTGTGGCTCAAGCGGCTAAGGCGCCAGCCACATACACCTAAGGTGGCGGGTTCAAATCCCCAGCCCGCCCGCCAAACAA